GAAAAATGCTTTATGCCATCGTAATCAGCTCGTCAAGCTTTACAAATTGGTATATATCCCATTCGAAACTGAGAGTCACACTTGGAGACCTTCCCTCGTCAGTGTAAAACGAAAAAGTTATTATTTTCGTACAGAGAAGACACCAGAAAGGCCTCTATTTTGTTAGTGTTTGATGGGCTACTTGATGACGTTTGGAATTAGAGGTAACTATAGTTTTGTAGCCTATAAAAGTCTCTATCCATCAGTATATAGAATAGGCATAATTATTGTAATCTAACGTAATAAAAATATGTTACAAATGATCTCATGAAAAAAAATTCTTTTCTGCGTATTTTTTGTTTTCATCTTTTGTAGAAATTTTTTTTTATCAATGTTTTGATGCAATATGGAAACTTTGTTCCACTCAGTCCGCGCAGAATTTGACGGTGCATCTTTTGTACAGAAAAAACGTATCACGAGACAATACAAAAAGCTCGATCTCAGAACAGAAAATTTTTATTTTCTCTATAAAGCCTTAATTATTTCTAAGCTTCTTCATATCAGTTTGTTGCTGTCCCAACGACCTACCTCTTGGTAAGAACTGATAAATTATTGAATTTGCCTTTATGGAGAAAAACGAGTGACATAGAGGCACAGGTCATTTTTTGTTCGTTTTGCCCAAGCGTCAAAAAAATCTAGCATCGCCCGATTTATCTAGATTACTAGATTTTTACTATTGATTGCAACTATTAGGTAACGACAGTAGAAATCTAGTAATCGGGCGATTGCTAGATTTCTTCTAGTTGCAACTAGCGATTTATCGCCAAATAGTCAATCGATTTAACTACTACTAGTTACACATGCAGATGCATCTAGTTAAAAGTCCCTTTTCCAACCAGTAATCTAGATGGCAATTAGTCGTGTATCGCTCCATTACAGACGAAATGTATTTAGATTTTTCCCATAGGCGATGCCTGCTTGGATGTATCTACACCGCTTATCGAAAATATCTCCTAGAAGCAGAAAGAATGAATCCAGTCAAAATATATATATCCGAAAGCTGCATATTCAGGCTATAAATCAGAAAACATTAATTTTGAAACATGTCCCCTTTACCGAAGTCTCAACACTTTTATTTGTCGCCCGTAGCCGGTAGTCAAGTTTTGGTCAAAATGAGACATGGTTTTGTTAATACCTCGAGATGTATCCCTAGTCTCACTCCTGTTCATTCCTTGAGAAACCCTGGAAGGATCTTCCAGGATCTTGTCAAGTTTTATTCAGGATCCGGTTTCGAATCCTAGTAATTCCTGTAACCAGGATTTTTCAAGATTAAACAGGATCCTGTTCATGATTTCTTCAAGTTCCTGCTCAGATATTTTTCTGAGTTGAGAATACAGGATCCTACCAGGATTTACTCCAGATCCTATCAAGGATCCTCACACGATTACAAGAGAGGATTCTGCCAAGATTTTATCAGGATTCCGTCAAGATCAGGACCAAATCTTCGTATCAGGATCCTGTTAGGAGTGATAGCCACATCAGACAACGGTCTTTGCAAGAAAATTACCAGATCAGTCAGAATACGAAACTGGCTAATCCTGCGAAGCTTCAGTCAGGATCTTGTTCAGAACTTTTGAAGAATATCCGTTTCGAGACCGTGCAAGACAATGTCAATCCTAATACGGATCTTGATGAGACAATATAACCCAAGTAATCTCAATCTTGTTCATTTCTTGAGAAAGCCTGGAAAGATCTTTCAGGATTCTGAATTTCGAGAATCTGTCTCGAATCCTGCTTATTCCTGTTTGCAGGATTTTCTCATGGTTAAGCAGGATCCTTTTCAGGATTTCTTCAAGTGCCTACTCAGATTTTTTTCTGAATTGACAATGCAGGATCCTACTAGGATTCGCTCTCGATCCTACTGAGGATCCTGACAAGAATAAAAGAAAGGATTCGGTCAAAATTTTATCAGGTTTTAGTCAAGACCTGTTCTGGATCCTGATACAAGGATCCTGTCAAGAGTTATAGTTACATCAGAGGAGATCTTACCAAGAAGATAGCAGGATCAGTTATAATCATAAACTGATAAATCTTGCTAAGCTTTGATCAGGATCCTTTTCCAATTCCTATTTATTCTTGTTATCCTAGACCTTTCCAGGATCCTGCGCGGAACTCTTCAGATATAAGCATTTCGAATGCTTACACAACAATACCAACCATCATCAGGGTCTTGATGAGGAAATACAAGGATCTAGTTAAGATCTTTGCAGGTTTGTGTTTAGAGTGTATTCAGAATTATATTTTCAGGATCCTATCAAGATTTATAACTGATCCTGTTCAGGATCCTGGCAAAAATGGATGAAAAGGTTTCATCAAGATTGTAGCTGATTTTTGTTCAGGATCCGTCCAAGATTGGTAAATCTATAGATCACAACATAATTTCAAATACCAATGTTGAGTAAAATCTCAATAGTGATAAACGGGATGGTTTTTTAAGATTTTATTGTGTTTTTATTCTGAACCTGGCAGAATCCTGAGGATTTAGGATTCTACTAGGATTTTTATCCTGATCTTGATTTGAATCGTTGTGTAAGCAATCCTTAGTCTCAGTCCTGTTCATTCGTTGGGAAAGCCTGGAAGGATCTTGCAGGATCCTGTCAAGTTTTGTTCAAGATACTGTCTCCAATCCTAGTAATTCCGGTTTGCAGGATGCCTCATGGTTATACAGGATCCTTTTCAGAATTTCTTCAAGTTCCTGTCCTGGGGCTCAAAAGAAACCCAATACCACACCTGAACCACTGAAAATCAAGGTCTCGCCCGACATCCGTTCTGTAGGAAACACCTTGGGCTAACTACTCATGAAAAATAATCTATTTATTTTTGCCTGAATTTTCAGTGTTATGGCTCGGTTTTCCAGAGATCCCCTGAAAAATTGGCTTTCCAAAAAATTTTGAAAAGCTTGTCTGTTACGTACGGATGTGGCGATGTCTTGGCTATCGAATGACGAAAACCCCAACTCTCTAGCCATTGTCAGTCAAAAGTTATTTGGAAAATGGCTTTTGTGGACACAGTAATAAGTAGTAACCGCTTAGAAATCCAATATATCTAAAAATGTTAATTTTATTAATGGGTGTCATTTTTAAAATTGCTGTGATAAGAACAGCAGCTATTTTAAGATTCATACCTTATTTTCCTTTATTATTTATTTACTCGACGTTTCGAAAAAAACTTTTACATACTGGTTACATACCGAAAATATCGGCTACATACTGAAACTGCATTTTTTTCCCCTTGGTTTTTTCACAAGATATCTAAAAATCTTGAAAAAAACCTGGCAGGATCTTTGAGAAACCTTGTTTTGAATCCTGTCAAGATCTTGAAATTCCGTGGCTACACGCTTCCTGGATTTAGTCGTTTCCTGACCGTATCCTGGTTCAAAAACAATGATAAACCTGTTAGGATCCTTAAAAATCTTATTTTCAATCCTGTCAGGATCTTGAAATTCCGTGGCTACACGCTTTTTTCAGGATTTAGTCGCTTCCTTAGGAAAAAAGAGCGAATCCTTGCAAGATCCTTGTCGGATCTGTCAGGGATCTGGCACTAAAACACCAAAGATTTTCCCTAGGGATTACAGCTGTGCATCTGATTTTAGCAGCCGAACTAGACACGGATCCTGTAATTATACACTGAAAAATATCCGTGAGTTTCCTTGAGAATTATTACACTTCTAAGCTTATCTACTTTTTAATCTGGAAATGAATCTAAAAGCAATCCGGTAATCGCCCGATTACTAGATTTCCACTGTCGTTACGCAGTAGTTGCAATCGAATATAAATGCAGTAATCTAGATAAGTCGGGTGATACTAGATTGTTTTTGACGCTTGGGAAGAGCAGTAATCAGAAGGAAGGGGAAATATTTTTGGTTTAATTAGGGATCTTTATTCTCCATCGTTTTTATAATTTGGTAGAAAACTCCTGTTCACTTGAATTGCGAGTAAACGGTTCTTCAGGATTATCTAGAGCACCGATTAATATAAAAGAAAGACAGTAGAAAGCTGAATATTTAGCCATTATTTTTTGCATGGTACCTGATTACAATTTTATTAATCTTTTATATCACATGATTGTTTGCCAAATGTCTTTGTGTTTAGTTGTCTACCTTTATTTGTACTGATTTTAGTGCATACATTTTTTCGTACTTTTGATTAAGTTTTCTTTTTGTTTCATTTGCTCACCATTAATCTAGTTACATCGTCAGCTATGCCCCTCCCCTTTGTAATTGTAATCGAGAATTTCTGATAGTTTGTTCTGCTCACTATTACTTTTTAGTCTCAATGTGTGTCAGTATTCAACCAGTAAAAGGCTTTATACGTATGCGTCAGAAACCGTTCACACGGATGTATATAAACTAAAGAAGCACTTCGTTCTTTTTTCTGTTTTCTTACTATTTCTGTTCATTGATTGTTTGCATTTAATGCAAACAAAATGAACCCAAAAATATTACATTATTTACTATAATCTGTAAAAATCTTCACGGATCTGTAAAAATTTGTTTAATGTCATACATTTGATTTGATTACTATTCAAATCATTATGAAAATAAATATATAAAGCAAAATCTGTATCATCTACAGCAATCAAAAATAATGAACAAATATATTTCGGTAGTATCGGGAAAGGAGCAGGTATTGAGAATTAGAGAAGATCCAAGAATACGTGAACAGGAGTGGTGAGTGAACGACTTTGTAATTTCTTGCCAAGCTGCAGTGCCGCTTTGGAAATTTAGAAAGGTTGCGTTGTCTGAACTGTGTTAGCTATTTGCTTCTCTCTCTCTGTTTCAGGGGTAACTCGTTCTCAAGTTCAATAGGAACGTGAAAAATGTGGTAAATGTTTCTATCGTTTTGCAAATGGTGAATCTGGTGCTGATGTCTATGATCGTATTTCATAATTTACGGAGATACTCTTCAGAGAAATGGATACCAGACATGAAAAACCAGCTGAAAATATTTTGATTGTCTTTCATGATCTATTTGTAAGCCTCTTCCTTATGCGTTTCTATCGATGGACTGTTGAAAAATTTGATACACTTAAAAATTTCGATAATTGTAGTTATGCAATAATGGAAAAGAATCTGAAAGATGGTAGTTGAAGACAGAGTTGAAGTTGTATGATTTGCTGTGAATGGCGAGAAGAAGAATGTAACGAGAAAGAGTCCAATACAGATTAAGTTTACTGGAGCAGCAAGAGTGATGATAATTTGGAAATAAAAGATCAACAGTGAGACACAATTGATCTAGAGAGTAAGATGAGTGCAATGAATGTATTGTAGAGAGATTTTGAAAGAAGGAAATAAATAAATAAAAATTTCATTCGAATAGAGGATCGAGCTTGAATCAAACTCATTAGAAGTTAAAAAGAAGACTGAATGAGCCTGTCCAGAGTTATTATTTTGATGTACTGGGTTTGTGTACTAAATTGGATCATCGGATGGGTGAAGAACAGAAATTATTGCATCTTCAACGTGGATTGAAACTATTGCTGGCTCAAATGACAATCCCAAAACTTCCTTAGAGTTGCTCGAACAAGCCAAAAGATCGGAAGCAGCAGCAGCAATTCAAACACCAGTAACTTCAATAGCAACGACAAGGACAGTAACAGAAGAAGTGTCTGAAGAAATGGCTGCTATTCACCCACACCTCACTCATCGTCGTCAATCTTATCTTCACGGCTCACAACAACCGAATTACTTTAGTTATAATACTCGTGGTCGAATTCGTCAGCAACAACAAGAAAGATGGCCAAGAAGTCAGCCTTCAACCCGATGGTTCGGCCCATCATATCGACAGAAACATCCAGACTATTATTCGTCATCAACTGAATGTTACTCATGTGGTAAACCCGGTCATTTTGCTCGTGAATGCCGATCTAGCCGTGCAAATTACTACCCAAAAGCTTAGTGGTGTCGCTTGATGGTAACGCCACCACCAATCATCGTCAACCATCAAAACAAATCTTCGTCAACATCCCAGTGAATGGAACGACAACAAGAACAATGGTCGACACAGGGTCAACTATTTCGGCTGTTAATCCAATATTTCTGGCTGAAATTAAACATGATAAAATTCACGCAGCAAAAGCAACGGTCCAAACAGCAAACAGTGGAAAATTGAGTATAATCGGAATAGTGATACCTCAGGTCAAAATCAACAACATTGCTACAACAGTTAGAGCATTTGTCATTGAAGATCTGGTAGTGAATTTATTATTGGGTGGTGATTGGTTGGAATTTTGGAAAGCTGATATTAGCTACCACCAGAAGAACATCACAATTTGGAAGAATCATCAAAATTTCAAAATTCCATTTGAACAACAACCTTGTTCTCAAGCATTTCAGATAACAACAATCAGTCCAATCATAGTTCCTCCAATGTCATCCAAGTTTGTACAAGCAACGACAACATCCAACATCAAGGCTCCTAACATGACATCAGCAGTCTTTACACCATCCTTTAAATTCAAAACAAGAAACAACATCATGGTTCCATATTCATTGGTAAAAATCGAACAAGGCAAAACAATGATATCAGTATTCAACACCACCAACACCCACCAGAAAATTCAAGCTGGCGCAAAATTAGGTGTGATTCAAAATCATTTCGAAGAGATTTGCTGTGCTGTCAATCTAAGCCCTTCGTCCCCTACACGATCATTTTCGCAACAGCGATCTCATTTGACACCTTCTCAACAATTCTCATCGATCACTACATCAGTTGAAAAATTAATTTCTCATTTATCTTCTTCTCAACAACGACAACTTAAACCAGTCCTTCTCAAGCATGCCAATGTTTTTAATACATCCAAACCAACAATTGTGAACGTTGGAATTCAGCATAGAATTCCAGTGAAGCCTCACCACCATCCGACTCAATCCCGAGCGTATCGAAAAGCTCCAAAAGAACGTGAAATTGAATCATTGCA